ATAACAATAATACAGAGTAACAAATAGATTAAACATACTCAACAATCAACTCCTTGTATTATTCCATTTAACCCAGCTCATCATCATAATTATCCAATAGATGTTTTTTGTAGCTCTGCTTAAATTGATTTACCTTTACACATTTTTTTCAAATCTTCACTCAAATTGTTCCATAAATCAACCTCACATTTTGTTGTACACATACGCCTCTTTGTTGTCCGAACTCTCTGTTTTTTGAAGTTTAATGCCCCTCTCGAATTGTACCCATCATCTTTATCATTAAACATTTTCTGTATATTACATGGAAGCAATTTATTTCTTGGCTTAAACATGATTACTGTGGTTTTAAACTTTATCAGATCAATAAATCACTTGTAATTTTAAAAACAGTGTTGTTGTGTGTTCCCTATATCCCACATTATATACTATCCTTATTGCTCGTTTTTGCAGTAGGGATAGTGACTGCAGATTACTCAGGTATGTGTTTCCCCAAACTTCCACACAGTAATTCAAGAATGGCATTAACTGTGATGAAAACAGAATATGCAACGATTCTTGATTCAGTAAATGTTTTATTTTACCCAAAACGCCAATGCTCTTTGCCAATTTTGCTTGTGCATATTTAATATGTGGTTTCCAGCTATTATTATGGTCTAGGATAACCCCCAGACATTTTGTTTCATAAACTCTCTCTATTCTTACATTTTCTAGCATCAGTTTTATCTCGGAGTCCACTCTTTGATTTCCGAACAAGATGACTTTGGTCTTGTCCAAGTTCAATGATCATTTGTTCAAGCTGAACCATTCTTTCAACTTGCTCATTTCAGTCCTCACTTCTCCCAATAATTGCTGTATATTTTCCCCAGAACAAAGAACATTGGTGTCGTCTGCAAACAAAACAAATTTTATTTTTTTTAAACCATAACTAAGTAATTTATGTGCATAATAAATAACTTAGGGCCCAGGACTGACCCTTGTGGTACACCAACAGTTATGTCGAGACAGACATCACATTTGAACAAACTGTTGTCTATTTCCCATATAACTTTTTAACCAATCCAAAACCACCCCTCTAATCTTTCCATTTTCATAAATAGTATGTCATGGTCTGTAGTATCAAATGCTTTTCTGAGATCAATAAAAAACCCAAAACATGTTTGTTTTTATCCATGCAATTTGTGACTTCTTCTATTAATTTTATTAATGCTACCGCGGCTTATCTCTGAAGTTGCAAGTGCAATTTTCTGGCCATAGAGGGCGGTGGGGGTCTGAGTGAAATGTCATTAATTTTGTAAAGGTTAATGACATTTACAAAGAGTAAGAACAACATTGAAAATGATGTCTATTTCAATAGCGGGTGTTAAATTCTGGAATGAGTTAACAGAAGAAATAAAGGATAGTAGTAATGTAAACCAGTTTAAAATAAAACTCAAAAAAGAAATGTTAAATAAGTATAAGAATGAAGAAAATGCAATTAACCCAGGACGGCATGTAAACTGATGTTTAATCTATTCTACAAATTAGAAAATCTAAATATAGTTCTAGTTGAACATGAGAATTTTATTTATTTATTATTATTATTTTTTTTGTGTGTTTTTTTTTGAAGGCATTGTAACTGTTTTGTTGTTTAAATTTTGATGATGAGGATGTAAACCTGAGGGGGTAGGGCTAAATAAGTATACACTTCTCCCTACTCCTTTTCAAACAATTGCGTGGAATGATTTTATGAAATGTTGGTGAATGTATATGTTTGAAATAAAGTGAACTGAACTGAACTGAACTGAACATTTCACACATACTGGATCAAAAAAATGATTTAAAAATACAAAAAAGTTGCAAAGTAAATCTTTGATTAACTGAGGGGGAAAATACTAACCAAAAACAAAATCTAAAAAATTTGGAGATGTCTGATTTAAATGGTAACTGTTATTGTTTACTTTTATTATTTCCTTAATATCAAAGCAATATTTTATATTATTAATATTAAAAGTCATATTATAACCATTATTGATCCAAATAAGTGTTAAAAATGTGCAAAAGAAAAAAAAAACAACCATACAAATATTCTTTATTTGAAGTAAAAGAGTTACGACCAAAAGCCTGGTGGTGTTTTATTAAAACTTGTTCAGACGGGTGGGCTATGGCCCGTCCTGCTGAGGAAAGTTCCTCTCTTCTTTATCACAGAACAGTTTGAATAAATAAAAAATGTAATAAAATGTTTCTAAAAATCTACAATCTACTTTTAGTGGACTAACTACTGTTGTTCATTTTGAAAATGAAGAATAAATGTGTGGAACGTACCTGGTGAAGACAGAGCTGTAAAAGCTTCAGACCACTTCTTGTGACCTTGTAAATGAATAAAAACGAATTAACACTCCAACTCTGCTGTTTCCTTTTCCTCAGTAATTTTCCTATCAGATAAAGTAAAAGGAGAGCTGAGACATGAACCTGTGGGTGGGAGGATTCCTCCTCCTCCTCTGGTTCTTGACTCTTCCTCCTTCTTCTTCATCGTCCCCAGCATTCATTATTTTTCTTTCATTCTAATTTGTACCGAGTCTGTTTTTTATTTATCTTCCCCTTTATGAGAATTTGCTTTAATGATGTAAAAAAATTCACAATCAGACCAAAGATAAAGATTTTAGGGAAGAAATACACACATTTAAGTGCTGTGGTTGCTACAGAAACATCATCATAGCAGTATTATGGAGATTTATTATACTACTTAGTAGAAAAATGTTCAAATTGTGTCATTTGATGAGCTTTTATTTCATTTCCAGCTTCAGTTTTCTGGTTTATGCGCATTAGCACCTTCATACATAGGTATGGCACACACACACACACACACACACACACACACACACACACACACACACACACACACACACACACACACACACACACTGGAGCAGACTGCTTTGTTCAAGTAGGATTTAAATAAAGTTTATTTAAATCTCCCTCCAGGGTGGTCCCCCACTGGAGGAGTCAGATGGAGGGAACTTTTCTGTTTGTCTCTCTGTATAAATATTTGATCCAATAAAAAGAAAGCAGGAAGCAGACACACACACACACACGGGGGCAAATTGTTTCACAACAGACAACTTTCTGAAGAATGAACACCTCTCAAACTAAATCAAGATCTTCCAGATACTCCAGATGTGGACCTGCTGCAGGGCAAACCAGAAAATCTTTGTCATCTTTTAGAAAACTAAAAGGAGACTTTCAGATCTCCGTCTCTGAGTTTCCGAAGAGCCTGGCTAGTGTTTGATTAAAAGTTTCACAGCTTGTTCAAATATTTGAGTCCTTTTCAGAGGTTTGAAGTGCTGGAGATGTAGGAGGAGGATGCTCTGTTTGACACTTTGGTAAAATTTAGTGGGTAAAAGGAGTGCTGGAACAAAGCTGTGCAGGAAATCTATTTCAAGAGAGCTCTGCTTAATCCTCGTGCCTGGTTAAGGACATTTGTGTCATTGTGGAGGGCCGTTTATTGACTGTGATCGTTCCTTAGCCATGAAAATGGGTGAAAGAGTATGCTATTTTATTCTGGAGTTAACCACATATAAACAACTACCATGTAAATACAGACTTGACCCTTTTTTTAGAGAAGCTTGTTTTAATACAACTTAATGATTTTATCAACCGCCAACATGTCCTAGATAAATTTTAGTCTGGTTTTAGGGTGAACCACAGCACTGAGACGGCCCTTCTGAAGATTAGAACAATTTATGATGCCCAGAGGGCAACAGTGTTGGTTCTGCAGGATCTAAGCGCGCCGTTGATACAGTAGACCACACTATTCTTTTAACCCGTTTAAAACAGATCGGCCTCTCTGGTGTTGTTCACAGTTGGTTCACTTCCTACCTCACAGACAGGACTTTTATGGTGAGTTTGGATAGCTGTTCCTCTGGGGTCCACAGCATCACATGTGGTGTGCCTCAGGGTTCAATTCTAGGCCCCACAATGCGGGTCGGAACAACCAAAACAAACATGGCTTCAATAGAAGAGATCAGTTTGCTCATTTTAATTCATTTTGAGATGAAAAAAGACAACAGCTGTATTGTAGACTGTGTGAAAGACCTCTGAACCAGTGACTGGAGAGGGTGTCTCGCTCATTTTGTCAACTCGGGCTACTGGTTGCTCCAATATTGCAGCGTGCACACACATCACATTAATTTTGGAGGATGCGCACAAACGACTGTTCAAATCAATGCAAGTTACGCGATGCAAACAAAACATGCATACGCATTGTTAAAAAGCACGCATTTCCCAGGCTTAAGAGGACACAGCATTTCTTTTGTTTTACTCTAATATCAGGTAAAGAAGGCTAGCAGCTAACGTTGAGCTAAAAGTGCTAATACTGAATTAGATAAAATTGTCAACTCAAGCAAAATCTCAAGCTACTTTTTCAATTACCACATGTATTTATGTACATGTCAACTTACTGTGTATGGCTCGTCTTCGTTTGTCATCCAGAATCTTCTGGCGCTGATCTGTGGCCGGTGCTGATCCTTTGTTCAATATTACTTAATTTTTACTAAGAATTATGTTGTACAAACATGATACATATGTATATTGTAGAACGTGAAAATTAATTTGTTACAACAATATAGTAATCATGTTAAAAATTTATATTTCTATCATTTAATTTTTTTAGCCTGACAACTTTGTGAAGCTGTAGAAAGCCACTGATGTCATAGTTTTATGTAGTTTAAAACAGAAATCTTTGAGTCCCGTGTCACTTAAAAGCATTGTATGTGGGTTTAAGTTGTTAGGAAATTATTATTATATTATTAATATTAATATTATTATTATTCGTGATTTTGTTGCTAAAATTTTCTACTTCAAACCAACAAAACAAACTAAAATAAATTAAGTTGTTTGACCGGAACGCTGCACCTGTCCATTTTTACCGCCAGGAGGCACCATTTGTTTATGAAAACTCTGGTTTCCAAGCGACATCAAAACATTAAAAAGCTGACTGTTGCTGGCTTTCTCTTTAGCTCGATAGAGGGAATTTCATTTTCTTGGATAGTCAATCTGATATTAATTGAGTTTTAAAACAAGCAGTTGTGTTTTAATTTTAGGCAGCGGAACTGTTTATTTAGTTTCAATCGGAATCAGAAAATCAGGGAACACCGGAAACACACTTTTGAACGGAGAGTTCGCGAGCTCGACATGTTCAAGAACACATTTCAAAGTGGATTTCTGTCCATCCTTTATAGTATCGGCAGCAAACCGCTTCAAATATGGGACAAGAAGGTAAAAATCGATGTAGAGTCACAAATGTGACATCAGGAGTAGCTAGTTAGCCGCTCGTGTTTAAGCTAACAGCCGTTGTGTGTGCATTTTTAGCGCTCGGCTCAGCTGTTACGCTCAGTTTTCCCCCAAATTCAGTTTGAAATATTTGGTTCTGTGATGATTTTTTACATCCACAGGTCAGGAATGGCCACATAAAGAGGGTGACTGATAACGACATACACTCCTATGTGTTGGAAATCGAAGGAGCAAACGTGAGGTGTGTGGTCCCGGATTGGCTCTGTTCACCTCAGATGTTTGTTGTCCTCAGAGAGGACATCAGTAGGTTAAATGTACACTTGATTAATTTATTTAGTGCAGCTGTTTATATTTAGCTTTGGCGTGTATTCAAAGTGCCAACTTTGACGAAGTCTGGGATGTTAGTTGGGATTTAAAGAACACAGGTTATTTTCCCCCAGTTATTGATCCATCTTAGCGTTTTTATTCATTTATTTTTGGTAGGAAGTTCATCAGGGGTCAAATCTGAGCCTATCAAATCAGTTCCCTCCATTTATTAAAAGGATACTTTGCAACTTGTTCATATTTTAATTATTTTCTTGATCCAGTATGTGCTAAAATGACCCTTTACAGGGTTAATAAAAAGTCACTCAGACCCCACCGACTCCTGTGGCCAGAATGTCACAAATGCAACTTTAGACCAGCTGGCCGCCATTTGTGACTTGAGGGACCACTAAAGCGTGTTTATTTTATAGGCCTATCGATATGGTTTTTTAAACGCCGATACCGATTTCTAAAGAATTTTGTTGCAGATGGCCGATTATTAAGGCAGATATTAATTATATATATATATATATATATATATATATACACACACACACACAGGTGCTGGCCAGTAAATTAGAATATCATCAAAAGGTTGAAAATATTTCAGTAATTCCATTCAAAACGTGAAACTTGTACATTATATTCATGCAATGCACACAGACCAATGTATTTCCGATGTTTATTACGTTTAATTTTGATATTTATAGGTGACAACCAATGAAAACATCAAATCTGGTATCTCAGAAAATTAGAATATTCTAAAGGCCAATGAAAAAATGTTTGTTTCTCTAATGTTGGCCAACTGAAAAGAATGAACATGAAAAGAATGTGCATGTATAGCACTCAATACTTAGTCGGGGCTCCTTTTGCCTCAATAACTGCAGTAATGCGGCGTGGCATGGACTCGATCAGTCTGTGGCACTGCTCAGGTGTTATGAGAGCCCAGGTTGCTCTGATAGTAGTCTTCAGCTCCTCTGCATTGTTGGGTCTAGCGTATTGCATCCTCCGCTTCACAATACCCCATAGATTTTCTATGGGGTTAAGGTCAGGCGAGTTTGCGGGCCAATCAAGGACAGGGATACCATGGTCCTTGAACCAGGTGCTGGTGGTTTTGGCACTGTGTGCAGGTGCCAAGTCCTGTTGAAAGGTGAAGTCTGCATCCCCATAAAGTTGGTCAGCAGCAGGAAGCATGAAGTGCTCTAAAACTTCCTGGTAGACGGCTGCATTGACCCTGGACCTCAGGAAACAGAGTGGGCCAACACCGGCGGATGACATGGCACCCCACACCATCACTGACGGTGGAAACTTTACACTGGACCTCATGCAACGTGGATTCTGTGCTTCTCCGCTCTTCCTCCAGACTCTGGGTCCTTGATTTCCAAAGGAAATGCAGAACTTGCTTTCATCAGAAAACATAACTTTGGACCACTCAGCATCAGTCCAGTCCTTTTTGTCCTTGGCCCAGGCGAGACGCTTCTTGCGCTGTTTCTTGTTCAAGAGTGGCTTGACACACGGAATGCGACACCTGAATCCCATGTCTGTCATGAGTCTCCTCGTGGTGGTTCTTGAAGCGCTGACTCCAGCTGCAGTCCACTCTTTGTGGATCTCCCCCACATTTTTGAATGGGTTTGTCGTCACAATTCTCTGCAGGGTGCGGTTATCCCTAGAGCTTGTACACTTTTTTCTACCACATTTTTTCCGTCCCTTCGCCTGTCTGTTAATGTGCTTGGACACAGAGCTCTGCGAACAGCCAGCTTCTTTAGCAATCACCTTTTGTGTCTTGCCCTCCTTGTGCAAGGTGTCAATGATTGTCTTTTGGACAGCTGTTAAGTCAGAAGTCTTCCCCATGATTGTGGTGCCTTCAAAACAAGACTGAGGGACCTTTTAAAGGCCTTTGCAGGTGTTTTGAGTAAATCAGCTGATTAGAGTGGCAGCAGGTGTCTTCTATATTCAGCCTTTTCAGAATATTCTAATTTTTTGAGATACCAAATTTGGAGTTTTCATTAGTTGTCACTTATGAGTATCAAATTTAAATGTAATGAACATTGGAAATACATTGGTCTGTGTGCATTGCATGAATATAATGTACAAGTTTCACGTTTTGAATGGAATTACTGAAATATTTTCAACCTTTTGATGATATTCTAATTTACTGGCCAGCACCTGTATATATATATATATATATATATATATATATATATATATATATATATATATATATATATATATATATATATGTGTGTGTGTGTATATATATGTGTGTGTGTGTATGTTTTAGCAGCACATCGATTGTGAAAGACAACTGAACACTCACTGTGTGCAATATAAATGAATTAAGTCAATAAATCTAATGTTTATTGAACTTCAAATATAAAACAAACTCAAATCATTTAAACAATTGGTGCGTTCGGGTCCTTTCTCCAGTTTAGTAGTGGTGGCAGTTGCCACAGGTGCCTGATTATTATTTTTTAATCGGCTTTTAAAAATAATTTTGGTCGATACAGAAAACTTTGAATATACCTGCCCGATGTATCAGCCATCCTCTGGTTTATTAGGTCTAAGACGTGCTTTCGTCTCAGATGTCCATTTAGAGAAGTTGTGCTTCTGTGCCACGCTAGATCGCTTTTGCATAACTTGCAGGTCACTCATCTTTTCACGGCATCTAGAGCGAAGTGCTCCCATACTTTAGATGTTTCTGTTCACGTTTTTTTTTCCTTCAGTTTTATTGTTTGTTTTGCTCCAGGACCTTTTCTTGCTCTGTGTGAGCATGTGCGTCAGGCATGTGTGTGGTACATCATAAAAACAAGTTACCTACTGGCTGATTTCTTCTTCTACTGCTCACCACTGGTAGATCAGTTGCTCATTACTGCCACACACTGGCCGCAAATTTAACAGATTGTTAAAAATAGACCGCTTCTGGTAATAACGTGATCATAAAATAACTAACCAATGACTAAATAAGTTGTCAACTATTTTAATAATCGATTAGTTGTTTCAGCTCTTAATTGGATGGATATTTATGGAACCACAACAACAGTATACTATGTGTCTGTGATAGATCTTCTCCAGATCTCTGCCCAGTAGAGATGGGTGCTGCATGTTTATATATTTATTAAATAGGTTTATACCCTCCTCTGTGCAGCACCACCTACATAACATGTCCCGCTGATCCCAAAAAGACGCTCGGCATCAAGCTTCCCTTCCTGGTTATGATCATCAAGAACCTCAAAAAGTACTTCACCTTCGAGGTCCAGGTAACGGATCCAGAGGCCATCGGTGCCTTGCTGATTTTCAGTCACACTCCAGTGATTTGTTTGTTTCATTCACATCCTTCAGGTGCTGGATGACAAAAATGTCCGACGGCGATTTCGAGCGAGTAATTACCAAAGCACGACGCGGGTGAAGCCGTTCATCTGCACCATGCCGATGAGGCTGGACGACGGGTGGAACCAGATACAGTTTAACCTGTCGGACTTCACCAGGAGGGCTTACGGGACCAATTATTCAGAGACCCTACGTGTTCAGGTGAATACACACAGATACGGTAGATGGTGTTAAAAAAACAAACCATCTGACCTGGTTTGCTTTCAGATTCATGCTAACTGCTGCATCAGGAGGGTCTACTTCTCAGACAGGCTGTATGCTGAAGATGAGCTGCCGGCAGAGTTCAAACTCTACCTGCCGGTTCAGAATCCCAAATCAAAGGTGAGTTCACACCTGAGAGCGCGATGCACCTGGGACAATGTCATGGGAAGTGTAAGACATCTTACATCTTTTTGTTTTTATTTATTTTGCAGCAGCAATGATTCCTGTCGTTCCCGAGCTGTCGTGAAGTTTAGTCAGATTAATTTTAATGTAGTGCTTTTGAGTCTTCTCGTCTTTATTTCTACTCGACTTGTACGTTCTGACAGTTTTTACTGTACATAATCATCAATAAACTGCTGATGTGCAAAATTTGTACTTTTATAAGAGTTTGTGTTGGAAAAGATGTTTTGAAAGTTCTATTTCTCAAAAGTGAAATAAAATGTCTATTTAAAAATGTATTTTGGTTACTTTTGGAAAATAACTAAACATTTGAGTGTTCAGGTCACAAATCACTTTTTAAATGTTTCATGGCCTTTTGTTGCTTTAATGACTTAAAAAATACATTTTAATTTAGAAATAATTTTAATGGTACTAAGAGAAAGAGAGAAAAGGACAGTTTATCACACAAGTCATTCTAATGAAGGATAAAAGGTTTAACTTTCTCATTTAAAGGGTAAAATAAAAAAAGCCAAAGTTCCAAAACTTTATTTTTAAAAAATAATGATCATCGAACTTATACAGGGCTTGTTTAGGACACTCATGCACTCTCACATTCACACACTGCCAGTGATGGTGAGCTACTTTGTAGCCACAGCTGCCCTGGGGCGGTCTGTCAGAGGCGAGGCTGAGGCATTTGGCGCCGTCGGCCCCTTTGACCACCACCAACACAGGCAAGTTGGGTGAAGTGTCTTGCCCAAGGACACAACAGCAGAATACCCTCCGATCATGAGGCAACCCCCTCTACCACCTGAGCTACTGCCGCCCCACCAGAAAGACAGAATAAAACAGGCACAGCTTAAGAAATTAGAAACCGGTGCAAAAGTCCATTTATGTCAGTAACTCATCTTAGACTGCGAGACCATCGAAAGCCTCAGGAACCCTTTGCAGGTGTGTTTAGAATATTGAACCTTTTCACACTATTCTTTTGAATGTGGAGTTTTCATAAACTAAGCTATAATCATGATTCTAACATATCTGGCTTTACATGCATTTGATTTTAGTTTCACATTTTAAGTGAAATCACTGACATAAGTGAATAAGTTGCTCTGTTCCGGTAAGCCTGCATCAAAAACATGAAATAAAATCAGATGGAACATTTAGAATTAAATGTAAGATATCCACTCATCTTTTATAAAAACAACCTCAAACATTGTTCATATTTAGCTGAAAATACACATTTTTAGAGTCCTTTAAAAAGTCCAACATATAAAATGACATCTTATAAGTGGCACGTAAACAAATGCCTAAAAAAACATATATACTTGTAAATTTAAGCTAATTTGACTAGTTTCTTTATATTACTTATTGAAACTTACTTTATATACGTTCTATAATAATTTTATAATTATGAATTAATTAGTAAGTAGATGTTCAGCCTCACTCAAAAGTGTCTACGGGGTTACGATGGTCATCAAAGCTGTAAAAGACCAGGGGCCTCATTTATCAAGCTTGCTTACGCACAAAATGGGGTCGGAAAACTGCGTAAGCAACCTTCCACGCAAACTTTGGGATTTATGAAAGAAAACAGTGGAAGAAGAAGAAAATATCATTTCTATAGCACCTCTCAAAAATCACGAGGCACTTCACAAAAACAAAAAATGTAAAAATATAAAAAAGAATTTAGAAAATTGTTAAAAATATATTTTAAATGAGCAAAAAATAGACAATTGTGATAAAAAATGTTAAGAAAGAGAGAGTGAATAGGAAAGAGGGAAATCAGTGGATCTTGAGGAAGGTGGAATAGAGAGCAGAATAAAGAGAGAGTGGTGAAGAAGGTCATACAAAAGCCAGCTTGAACAAGTGAGTCTTCAGCTGCTTTTTAAAGGAGCCCACTGAGTCCACTGATCTCAGGCTCAGGGGGAGAGAGTTCCAGAGTCTGGGGGCCACAGCAGCAAATGATCTGTCACCTTTGGTCTTTAGCCTTCTGCTGCACAACCAGTAGGCTTTGATCACTGGACCTCAGGGACCTGCTGGGGGTGTAGGGACTAAGAAGATCACCAATGTAAGATGGTGCTTGTCCATGTAAGGCCCTATAGACCAGAACCAGGATCTTGAAATGAACCCTGAAATGAGCCAGTGAAGCTGGAGGAGAAGCGGGGTGATGTGGGTGTGTTTGGAGGACTTGGTCAGAAGCCGAGCACAGGCATTCTGAACCACCTGTAGACGGTTCAGGGAGGTTCTGCTCAGACACGTGAAAAGAGAGATACAGTAGTCTAAGCAGGAGGAGATGAAGGTGTGGAGAACTGTCTCAAGTTCAGAGCGGGACAGAATTGGACTCAGCTTAGCAATGTTCCTGAGATGGAAGAAGGAAGAGCAAACAAGAGAACTGACATGAGAATCCAGGGTGAGAGCTGGGTCAAAGGTCACGCCAAGATTCCTGATGGAGTGAGAAGCAAGCTGACCAGAGAGTCTCTGACTTTGGGAGCCAGCTTGTCTGGGGCACAAATGAGGATCTCAGTCTTATCTTCATTCAGCTGCAGAAAGTTCCCAGCCATCCAGGTTTTGATAGAGTCTAAGCAGGTGTGTAACAGCTGCAGCTTTGACATCTCATGGGGCTTGAAGGAGATGTACAGTTGGATGTCATCTGCATAAAGATGGTAGGAGATTCCTTTGAAGGAGCTCAGGATGTGCTGAAGAGGAAGCAGATAGAGGAGGAAGAGCTGAGGCCCCAGCACAGAACCTTGTGGGACACCATGGGTAAGGGAGGTGGTGGAGGACCTAAACTTGGAGACGGCCACAGAAAAGGAGCGCTCAGAAAGATAAGAGGAGAACCACTCCAGAGCAGATCCTGATAGGCCTACCCAGTCTCTCAGCCTCTCCAGTAGCAGGTGATGGTCAACAGTGTCAAAGGCTGTAGTCAGGTCCAGCAGGACCAGAACAGAACAGTCCCCTGCATCACTGTGAGTCAGAAGGTCATTAGAGACCCTAAGAATAGCTGTATCAGTAGAATGAGCTCTACGAAAACCTGACTGGAAGCTATCATAGATGTTATGTTCATCAAGAGCAGCTGTGAGTTGTTTAGCCACAACCTTCTATGCTATGGAGAAAGGGGTCAAGACTCGGTTTTTTAAGAAGCGTGTGGATTACAGCGTTCTTTAAGTAAGTAGGGACCTGACCAGAAACCAGAGAAGCATTAATTATAGAGAGCACGCTGGGTCTGATGGACTGAAAAGCACTTTTAAACAAAGATGAGGGTAAGATGTCGAGGGGGCATGCAGAGGTCTTCATAGAGTTAACTAGTTTGGTTAACTCAGGCAAAGAAACAGGAGCAAAGCTATCTAGGATGATGGGCCTGGTTGGAGTCGGGAGAGGCAGCGATAAGGCTGAAGGAGAGATGCTAGATCTAACCTTATTGACTTTGTCCACAAAGACAGAAAGTTCTCAGTCTGCAACAGAGTGGATTGAGGCTGTAAGAGAGGCAGGGGGTTCCCTTTGCTCTGGGACACCAGGTTGGAGAAATAGGAAACCCTAGCATCTCTGACTGCAGAGTTAAAGGATGTCAGAAGATGCTTTAGGTGCAGCAGATGGACGTGGAGATGGGTTTTCTTCCACAAGCGCTCAATTTTTTTGCATTGGCGCCTTAGGCTGCGAAGGCTGTCAGTAAACCAGGGAGTAGGGTTCACTGCAGGAACTGATCTGAAAAATGTGCACAACTTTAAGTTGACTAAGGACCTGGCTTACGCACATGTTGGACATGGAGAGCACCTGCAGTGCTGCTGCTGAGAAGGACAAAATTATGAAATCCTGCAGCATTATCACTTGTGCTGCTTCATTTTCACACAGAACAAGACCCCCCAAATGCACACATGTGCGCGCGCACACACACACACACAGCCTGAAGCGCAGAATACGGAATGCAGAAAATCAGCAGGGGGACAGATTGAGACAGAATGTCATGCGACTGTGGCCGTGTCCTGTCACTGTGACCCGATTGATCATGCACCCTGCCTACTTGTACAGGTGAGATCTCCGTTTGGGTGACTGGTTAGCGTGTGTGACTTTCACCTGGGAGTCTGGGGATCAAATCCCAATTGGACCATTTTCTTTATGTCCGCCACAGATCTCTCTGAAGAATTCACAACATTGACGGCTTCAGCAACGCTGTGCCACTCTGCGGATTTTCTCTTATTTGTTTTGCAAAAGCACTTCCTTTCATTTCTCCACCTCACCCACAAGTACCTCAATTTCTGCTTCTGTGAAATTGAGTTTCCTTGATCTGTCTTGATCTACGGTTGCCATCGTCATTAGCGGAGCGCTGCAACAGCCGGTTTATGCATATGCATGAGATTCACAAGGCTCTTTGCAGTGACTATTTATGGCAGTAAGTGGGCGTAGTGAGGGCGGGATGGGACTAAAAAGCAGCTGAGAAACATTCTCGTTAGTCTCCGATTTATGAAGCGGAGATTGCGTGCAGCTGTGCGTACTCCATGTTTGATAGATCACAAACCTGCTTGGCGTAAGTACATTTTCTTTGCTGAGCTTAAGCACGGTTTTAGTAAGGATTCTACGTAATGTTTGATAAATGAGACCACTGGTTACCTGTTACTTTGCAGATAAAATAATGAACATATGTCTAAAGGTTTACTTGTAAAAACAAAAACAAAAACATGAACCATCATACACTGGAAAAAACCTAACACTGGTTTTATTTTGAAATATATCGTATGCAGCTCTCTAAACCACATCTCACTTCATTTCTGGCTCATGTAATTTCTTTCACATCTTGATAATCCACATGTGGCATCTGGAAAAACAAGACTCCATGCAGAAACTTTCCAGAGCTCCGCATCCGGATCTGCACCTCAGCCGGTGTGAACACTATGAATAGACCAAACTTTTTTTTGTTTTAGCAAAAGCTGTTAAGAAACCTACAGAAGAGGATTAGGACCACTGAAAAGAAAAAGAAAGGAAGATTGTTCTGACTTTAATTTCAGAATTTTGACAAGATTAAAGTCAAAATTCTTAGAAAAATGTCAGAATTCTGAGTAAAAATGTCAAAATTCTTAAATTAAAGTCAAAATTCTGGGATTAAAGTCAGAAATCTGAGTAAAAACTCTGAGATTAAAGACAGATTTCTCTTGTTTTTTTTTCTGTTTAGCGGCCCTAACACTCTTACGCAGAAACAGAAATGCATTTGTTCCTCTGTGAATGAGGTGTCAGAGCTATGCAGTTTCAATTCTGTGAGCTCTCATCTTTAAGGGTTGCTTTAGCATTTACAGCTAAAGTGTTTTCAGCGATTTGGGTTGCCATGTCTACATCACATCCAAAGGATTTGAGCTCTGTGTGGACTATCATGTGTCTGCTCAAACTTGTCACTTGGTGAAACCTGTGTCCACAAACATCACAACAGTATGGTTTCTCTATGGAGTGGACTCTCATGTGTATTTTTAAATTTGTCCTATCGCTGAAACCTTTTCCACAAGCATCACAACTATACGGTTTGTGCCCTGTGTGGAGTCTCGTGTGTATCGTTAAACTTCTCTTCTGGCTAAACCACTGTCCACAAACATCACAACCAAATGGTTTATATCCCGAGTGGATTCGCATGTGGATGTGTAAAATAGCATTTCGGCTAAAGGTTTGACCACAAACATCGCAACCAAATGGTTTCTCTCCTGTGTGGATTTTCATGTGTCTGTTTACACTTGACTTTTGACTAAAACTCTGTCCACAAACATCACAAGGATAGCGGTTGTGTCCCGTGTGTATCCTTGTGTGTGTGCTTAAATGAGACTTCCGGTAAAACTTTTGTCCACAAAAATCACAACAAAAACGTTTCGATCCGGTGTGTATCATCATGTGTGTTTTCAAATTTGTCTTCTGGCCAAAACTTCTACCACAAATATCACAAACGAACGGCCTATGTCCTGCATGGATTCTCATGTGTGCTTTTAAACTTGACCTTCGGCTAAACATTTGTCCACAAGTATCACAAATAATAGGTTTCTCTCCGGTGTGGACTCTTATGTGTGCATTGAACTCTGTTTTTTCGCTAAAACTCTGCCCACAAACATCACAATCAAACTGTTTCTGTCCTGTGTGGATTTTCATGTGTGCTTTTAAATGAGTCTTTTGGCTAAAACTTTGTCCACAAACACCACAACTAAATGGTTTCTGTACTGCATGGACTGCCACGTGTCTGTTTAAATTTGTCTTATCGCTAAAACTTTGTCCACAGCTGTCACAACCAAATGGTTTCTCCCCTGTGTGGATTCTCATGTGTAAGTTTAAACCCGTCTTTTGTAAAAAGCTTTGTCCACAAAGATGACAGAAGAAAGGCTTGTGTCCTGTGTGGATTCTCGTGTGTCTTTCCAAATGTGCCTTTTGTCTAAACCTTTGTCCACACAGAACACAACAGTACAGTTTCTGTCCTGTGTGAACTTGCATGTGTCTGTTTAGATTTGTCTTTCTGCTGAAACTTTTACCACAGTCGTCACAAATGAATGAGCCCAGAGTTGTCTCTCCGTTTTTGTTCAAGTCTGCACTTGTCTTCGCTCTAAAACTTTTTGAATGACTTGTCATGTGCCGTCGAAGAGACCAGTTGTGGAGGTATCGTCTACCACACTCAGAACAGCTAAAGGATCTGTTGATGCGGGTTACACCCGAGTTCTGGTCCTTGTCACCCTCTTCAGTTTTTGCCCAAAAGTCTGAGAAGAGTTTCACCTGAGAGTCAGGATTTGTACCATCATCATCCTCACTGACATCAGTCTCTGAAGAGCTGGAATCATATTCGTGAGTATTTAGACCTGGGCTCCAGTTGGTTTCTGTTCCTCCACAGTCTTCTCCGTCAGCTTCTACTTTCACCAGATCCTTCCTTTGCTCTCCTTCCAAACTGGTCCATACTTCCTCATTTTCCTCTTTCATGACAAGGCACCCTGGCTCCTGCTGGTCCACATCAAGTCTCCAATCTTCAGGTGCTTCTTCAATTATTATCTGATCAACATCTGCAGGAAATAATGAAAAACATCAACATTAAGTTCAACTGACTTTTAATTGGAGTGATTTGGACTTATTTCACCTCTCAGCCTCAGTAAAAAATGAGCCGTCAAGAAATTAAGAGGAAATTTGTCATTTTTAAAATATTTTTGATCATACGTTGCTTATTATCAAACAAGCCTATGTTTGGGCAGTAAAATGTTGCAGCTGCAGAGTTGAGAATATGAAACACTAGACACCACGCTCTTCCATAGGACTGTTTTAGCCCTCCCGTTGTCCTATAAGGTGGCCCCTCCAGGACAAGGGACGGTGGTTTATTCCTCAGAAATCAAAAACAACACCTTGAGTCTATTAGACCCCATTACAAAGGTGGGAGGGTTGGGGGGGGGGATACATTTCAAATTTCAGCCAAAACTGTGAACAAAGGCAGGATTACTCAAAAACCTGAGAGAAAGGCAAGCCAAACTCGAAACAGTGCATATGGTGTCCAGTGGACCCCACTGGGATTGCAATGGGCAACATTTATACCGAGAACCTTCGAATGTTTCCACATCTGGATTAGTGAAGAAACTGGAAAAAAGTAATGGGGTAAAAAAAATAACACCTGGGGTCCACCTTTCTCAGTGGCCTAGTGGTAGAGTGTCTGCCCTGAGACTGGGAGATCAGGGGTTCGATTCCTGGTCGGGTCATACCAAAGACTTTGAAAAAATGGGACCCAATGCCTCCCTGCTTGACACTCAGCATTAAGGGGTTGGATTGGGGGGTTAAACCACCAAATAGTTCCCGAGCGCGGCTGTGTCTGCAGCTCACCGCTCCCCCAGGGGATGGGTCAAATGCGGAGAATAAATTTCACACACACACCAGTGTGTGTGACAACTAATGGGACTTTAACTTTAACTCACAAAATGGAAAACATCAAAAAAAATTCTTAGAAACTGCATAGCTCTGGGGGTGGTTGCTGGGTTGTTTGTGGGAGGGTTAAAAAAACAAATAAATTTAATTTCTTGAAGTCTAAGGATATAGTTTAAATGGCTCAAAGTGTCAAAGACTGATCATATATTTTTCTCCCATTTTTATCTCCTAATATAAAATTGATTTATTTATAGAGCATATTTTAAATAAAGTTTGCCAGCATTGTAATGATGCACATTTACATTAACAGAACATCAGCGCAAAACGTAGCTCACTGAATGCTGATGTGCTCTTTTAAATACTTTCAAGCACACTTAACAGCACAGTAACAATATGGACTTCTCTGATTTTCCACATGTTGGAAAAAATGTTTTGATGACCTCATACCTGAATGTCTTGTGTTTATGTTACACCTTCTACCACCTTAGCGGAGGTCCAAGGTGCTGAGTAGCACATAGTAGATAAAAGAGAAGAAAAATTGTAGTAGATAAATTATACAAGTAAAAGCAATTAAAAGCCGTGCAGTACAAAAAGTAAAATACAAAAGCCAGTGTCAAGAGTCAAAGCTAACAGATAAAAGTGAGTTTTCAGGTGAGACTTCTGAAGAAAAAGAGCTTGCTTCACCCCAGGGGACTTCCAGCAACTCCTGCTCAGCAGAGCGAAGGGCCCTAGAGGGGACACGCCGCTGTAACAGTGCAGCCAGATATGGGGGAGCACTGCCCTGCAGCACCCTAAAGACATGGAGGAGGATCTTCAATCTTGCCCGATAACACACCGGGAGCCAGTGCAGTGAAGCTAACACTGGGGTAATGTGGTCCCTCCTTCTAGTCCCAGTAAGCAGAGTTTTGGACTAGCTAGAGCCAAGCAGGTGTAGCCTGACTCAGCCCAGCATACAACGCATTGCAGTAGTCAAGGTGGGACATGATAAAAGCATGTAGTACTGTTTCCAAATGTGATCTTGACAAGAGAGGTTTAATCTTAAATAGCCGTCTCAGATTTAAAAAACATGCCTGGACAACCATGTTTATTTGTGCATCAAATTTATGGGCCTCATTAATTTTCACCCCTAAATTTGTGACCACATTCTTCTCATATTGTTCCAGGGAAGCGAGATCAATCTTGCCACCTGCTCCAGCTTTTTCACCATGGCTGAGTATTATGACCTCAGTTTTGGACTCATTTAGGAAGAGGAAATTAGTGGCCATCCATAACCTAACTTTCCTTAAGCAGTTCAATAACGCAAAGAGCCTCCTGCCTCCAGAGAAAGGAGCAAATAGATCTGGCAGTCGTCTGCATAAAAATGGAACTTAACACCACGACGCTGAAGGAGGACCCCCAGGGGCAAGAAGTAGTGTAAACAGAAGGGGGCCAAGGACAGAGCCCCTGAGGGACCCCCCCCCCATCTGAGGCTCTCAGGCTGAAGAAACTTCACCCATCTATAATCAGAGAAGCTAAGACATTTACTAACAGTGTTATAAATACCTGATCCAGGACCTCTGCTTTCCTCACAGTTTTTGTCATCGCTTTCAATATTTGGCCCAGAGTCTGACAGGAGTTTCAGCTTTAATCCTGGATTGTCCTCTTCATCATCCTCACTGTCTTCGGTCTCTAAAGAGCTGGAATCAGCTTCACAAGTGTGAAAAGCTGGACTGCGAGGAGATTCTTGTTCTCTGCAGACCTCTTCATCAGCTTCTTCCATTTGATGCTGACGAAGTTCTAAAGAGAGAGGTTCCTCTTCATCGTCCTCACCTTTCAAACTAACTGTAGTAATCGAAAACTTGGAGGGATCCGTCTCCACACTAAGCTGCTGTTCATCCTCTTCCTCTTTCATGCTTAGGATCTCCACATCAGGTCCCCGGTCTTCAGGAGCATTAAAAACATCTGCAGGAGACAGAGAGACATGCAGGATAACCAACTTTAGATTTGGTTCTAATTGTTTATCGCTTTGTACGTCCCATGTGTTACCAGGTCGCTTTTAATTCTTAAATTAAACATTAAGTCAATTTCCCTGCTTAATAATAATGTTCCCTTTCGATGAAAGCGATGAAATAACGGTACGAGAATCCGTTCACCAGTTAGCATGCTATGCTACAAACAAAGCTAGCTAAGCTAAAAGGAAACTGCTATTAATGCCAACTTGACGTTATCAAATTTGGAAGAAGAGGTGTAAGTATACAAACCTAAGCTCTGCAGCTGAGCATTGGTGTTAAAAACAGGGTTGGTTACTTTGTTTTGTAGCGCGTTTCCCCTTAAACGCCATAAATGATTGCAATCTGCGGCCATTGTTCAAATAGGGCAAGCCAAGAGACACACAAATTACCCAACCCGTTAGGTAAAGTGGCGAAAACGTTCGCAGTTGGATGAGGTCGCTGTAAAAATAAATAGTTTCTTCACCAAGCATTTTCCGTAGGAACATAGCCACAAAGCACTGTAAAACATGATTACATTTTAAGAAATTTTTAATAATTTGCATCACTGTTGTTTCATTAGTGACACCAATTGGTTAGGAGAGGAACTGCAGTGAGTGTTGCAGGTCTAAAGTAAACTGCGCACTATTTTCATAAATTTACCAATTTCTATAGATATATTTAATATAAAAAACAAAACAATTTTTTCAATGTCAGAATGTGATGATGTTCTGCATTTTATAATTTCTGTAACACATTATTTGAAAAAGTGAAAGAAAATCAAAACAAATCTCAATGTTTCATATCATAACAATGCTCTTATCTATTATAATTTGTTCTTCATTGTTTCATGTATAAACTGATTGAACACTTGAACATTAATAAAGATGGGACTACTGGTTCTAAATAAAACAAACGCTGCCAAGTTGTTAAAAAAACAAATTTCATTTAAAAAGTTACATTTCTAAGCAGTTACATGCAAGTGGAGCAATGATGAGTTGAAATAATAAACACATTTTAAATATAGATTGGTTTTATTTAAAGGGGCATAAACAGGAAGATGCACAAATGATTTAGAATATGTTTCAATTACATATCTTTTATGTGTTTGACATGAAAATAATGGCATATTTTAAATGCAGGCATGCTGTTTTTAATAAACAATATCAGGATCTTACAGCTTCAAATCACTGAGCACAGGAAAAACAATTGAACGCACAGGAATATCATTAATATTCATTTTAGATCAATTATTGCTTTTTTCTTGAAACTGCACAATTTTATAAGTTTATGTACAATGAATCATTTCAAAAGGAGTTGATACTTAAGTAATAAAATATGTAAATGTGACTTTAAATAAGTAGCTACTTCAACTAAATTGTATTGGTTTTATAATTGTCTGTAATAATTTGTAAAATCATACTTCTTAAAGTAACTATCGATAGATTTTAAAATTTTAAGCTAGGGCTTTAACATTGATCTCAGTGATTGATGAGTTATAAAATTGACCAGTTTCATAATTGACACCACACTGCTGACCAAAAACCGCACTTGATAGTTTTGTGGAGTGTGTAGGTGCCCTATAGGGGGAGCTCTTTACCTGCTTTAGGGCTGTAATGCTAACGGTTCTCATTTTCACTAGTGATGGGAATTCCGGCTCTTTTTAGAGAGCCGGTTCTTTTGGCTCAGCTCACCAAAAAGAGCCGGCTCTTTTGGCTCCCAAGTGGCTCCTCAGATTTTCTGTTGCGTAGAGTACATTTATAACCAAAATAATGCCAAACTATATGTAAAATAATTTACTAATGTAAAAAAAAGCAATATATCAAATATTTATCATTTCTATGGATTTAATAACTTAACACTTTAAGAAATCTCCACTTCCCTACTGCTGGCGCTCATTTTCAATCAATGAATCAATCAAAGCTTTATTTATAAAGCGCCTTCCGCAACCCTGTCAGGAAGCCCAAAGCGCTGAACATTGTACAGTTATCTTAGGTGTGTTCTTGCTGTGTCTTTCTAAATCCATGCTTTCGTTCTTTTTTAAACACAGAAACAGTTTTGTTTACCTGTTTGTAGCTACAGTTTCGCCGACGGCTGCCGGCTTCTTCAGGCTGACGCTGATGGTGGCGCGTCACTTCCTTCTCCGTTTATCTGCGGGCAGCAGAGGACGTTGTCGCCCTCTACTGCCCGCTCTCCCCTCTCCGACGATGCAGTCCCATGCGTGGTCCAGCGTGTAAACTCCGTCGTCCCTGTTCATGGTCCCACATCCACGTCTCCTTATCTCTATTGCTTCCTTGATCCATCTTTTGTATTTTTGTTGTTCGGTGGTTATGATCCGTGTGCTGTCCCAGTCCATTATATGGTTTTCTCTTAAGCAATGATCTGTTACGGCTGACTTTTTTATTGTACTTTCTGCTTCTTCTTTTGCTGCTCTTGTGCATTTATGGATATGAAAATCACCAGGCAGACCGACGGGACCCTAAACATAAACACATACAGGAAACCAACACACACAGACCAATATTTATTATGGACATCAGATACACAAAATATCAGTAATCAGAACATTATATCACCGAGCAAACATAATAACAGAAGAGAGAGACCGTAAACAAGAGGACAAACACATACAACACGCTTTAAAGACCTGCGCATACCCGACATGGGCAATCTCCCTAGGAGACGGAGAAGTATGAGGGCACAATGTCTCCGCTCGTGCGTGCGTCTCCCTGGTGGAGCTGATGGAGAAGCATGACTCAGGCTTAAGTGGCCTGGAAAGCTATCCTATATATGTGAATATATATGTATATATATATATTATTGTGCTTTGACAAATGACGACGTTGATGCTAGGCTAGTTCCTAAAAGTTTTCTTGATGTTTCCCCTTTTGTGTGAATTCTCATATGTGTCGTTAAAAGTGTCTTTTGGTTAAAACGTTGTCCACAAACATCACAGGAAAACTGTTTCTGTCCTGTGTGTATTCTCATGTGTGTGTTTAAACTTGTTTTTCGAGTAAATCTCTGTCCACAAACATCGCAGCCAAACGGTTTTTGTCCTGTGTGTTTTCTCATGTGTGTGTTTAAACTTGTTTTTCGAGTAAATCTCTGTCCACAAACATCGCAGCCAAACGGTTTTTGTCCTGTGTGGCTCCTCATATGCGTATTTAAATGTATCTTCTGACTAAAACTTCGACCACAAACATCACAAGAAAACGGTTTCTGGCCGGTGTGGATTCTCGTGTGAATTTTTAAGCTCGTCTTGTGGCTAAAGTTTCTACCACAAACATCACAACAGTACGGCTTCTGTCCTGTGTGGATTCTCATGTGTGAGTTTATATAGGCCTTGTTTCTAAACTGTTGTCCACAAACATCACAACAAAATGGTTTTTGCCCTGTGTGAACTAGCATGTGTCTGTTTAAATGGGTCTTCTGGTTAAAACTTCGTTCACAAACATCACAACTATACGGTTTCTGTCCCGTGTGGATTCTCATGTGTGTATTCAAACTAGTCTTTTGGCTAAAACTTCGCCTACAAACATCACAACTGTATGGTTTCTGTCCTGTGTGAATTATGATATGAGTATTTAAACATATCTTATTGCCAAACCTTTGTCCACAAACATCACAACAAAATGGTTTCTGTCCTGTGTGGATTCTCATGTGCATGTTTAAGCTCTTCTTTTGGCTAAAACTTCTACTGCAGACATCACAACTATACGGTTTCTGTCCCGTGTGGATTCTCATGTGTATGTTTAGATTTGTCTTTCGAGTAAAACTTTGTTGACAAACATCACAGCAAAATGGTTTCTGTCCCGTGTGAATTATCATGTGTCTGTTTAAGTGCGACTTTTGGCTGAAACTTCGTCGACAGACGTCACATCCAAATGGTTTCTGTCCTGTATGGATTCTTATGTGTCTGTTTAAACGTGACTTCTGGCTAAAACTTTGTCTACAAACATCACAAACAAACACTTTCTGTCCCTCCTGGATTGTCACCTGTGTATTTAAATTCATATTTTGGTTACTTTCATCACAAAGATCATGACAAAATGATTTTGGTCCTGTGTGGATTGTGTCTTCAGTTTTTGACCCAGGTTCTGACAGGAGTTTCAGCTGCATGTGAGAGTTGTCATCAACCTCTACATCATCCTCACTGACTTCAGTCTCTGATGAGCTATAGGTGTCTTCAGTGTTTAGATTTAGACCCCTGGTGGTTTCTGCTATTCCACAGTCATCTTCATCAGCTTCTGCTTCCATCTGCTCAGCTGAGCTGCTGACTGAAAGATCTCTGCCTTCCATTTGATGCCAATGAACCTGTGAGATTAGACGTTCTTCTTTCTCATCCTCACTCTTCAAAGTAACAACATTGAATGAAAACCTGGTGGCATCAAGCTTCTTTATACCACCGAGTTGACCTTCCAGACTGGTCCACCATTCCTCCTTTTCCTCTTTTATGCTGAGAAGCTCTGGTTCCTGTTGGTTCACATTTGGCCTCCAATCTTCAGGAACCTCTTCTTTAACCACCAGCATCTGCAGAACATCTGCAGAAAGAGCTGAAACACATGAACACCATTTAATTTGTAACCGGCTCAAGATATTTTGGTGTTTTGTGTCTTTGCAGCCTCCATTGTGTCATTTTAACAGGAAGTGAAGCTAGCTGAGCTGCATAGTGTCATGGGATGTCCTGGAGTGTCTCGTTCTGTCTGCAGATGTCCTTTAAAGGATCATATCATGGAAGATCTACTTTTTGTAGCTTTTTACTGTGTATTATTTCTATGTCCTTTTGAATAAAAACAAACCTAAACCAGTTTTTGGCTGCATCCATGCATTTTCCTGTTTCAGCTGCAAATTTTTAATTTTATTTTGAAAATATTGACACGCATTGATGGAAACGATGTGCATCATTCTGGCTTTCTCCTCCCAACATTAGGCCCTTCTCCTTTCTCTGAAGGTAGTCTCTGACCTGAAACCTGCCTCCCCTGGTCAGCACAGGATGTGTGTATATATGGTGTGTGTGTGTTTGTGCGTGCTGTCGTCTCAATCCCCAGTGACTCGTTGTGGTTTGCTGCTTATAGAGCTCCAGGAGTTGACGTCACTTCTCCCGGCATGCAACAGTTCAAATCGAAACGGCGCCATATTGGCATGCAGAAGCCGGCAGCTGGACTATTTGTTATTGTCAGAAAACTCAATCAAACGGGAAATATGGTAGATTCCTGTTGTACTCCAGGATGCAGAACAGACGCGGACGACATAAGGAATGAGCCATCTACAGGATTCCCCAAGATCCGGAGCGCCGCAAACGTTGGATCATTGTAATAAAACGCGCTAGTGACCGGGCTAAAATGAAGCTGTGGGATCCCGAGAGTAAAGGTTTTCGCTTATGCAGCGACCGCTTCATATCAGGTACTTAAACCAACGTTTCCTCAACTGTGTATGGTATTTATTTTAAATGCTTTTACTACGATTCTTAGTGGGCTTCCTAAACTTATTTTGGCGTGGCTTTTTCTGTCTTATTACTCATAGCAACAATAAACATCACGTAAAACGTTGCCTCGTGAGTTCTGCGTGCTGCCGTTTCCGTGTTTTATGTTGACAGCAATTAACCGCCTAAGCTGTATTTAATTTTTAAGCAATGGTGGATCAATTGTCAGATCACACATAAAAAGCACTTTGGATTGCTATTATCTGTCTCACCGAGACTACTTACGTGTAAATCTGTTATTTGTCCGTCCATCCATCCATTTTCATCCGCGTATCCGGAGTCGGGTTGCGGGGGCAGTAGCGTGACTTCCCTCTCCCCAGCCGCCGGAGCCAGCTCCTCCGGGTAAATCCCAAGGGGTTCCCCGGTCAGGTCCGGTGTTGTGCTGGTAAGAAGTCCGCTCAGACATCTTCTGGCGTTTTTAAAAAGTATCCCAGGGGCACAGTAAGGGTCGGAGATGTTTAGTCTATTTAATTTCTGACTATATAAAACGATTTCTTCTGTTTTAAAGTGTGAAGTAAACTCCGACGAAGTAAAATCCAAGCGGATCCCGTTCATGTTCATGGTTACATCCGTGTTTGTTTACCTTTTTTGCATGCCAAAATGGCGTCCACTAACTGAGAGTCACGTGGGGTCCGGAGCTCTATACTGAGCCAGAATCCTCTGGAGGTTTCTTTCTATTAAAAGGGAGCTTTCCTCTCCACTGTCGCTACATGCTTGCTTAGTATGAGGATTGCTGTGAAGTCACTGACAACAAGTCAGTGACCCAATCTAGTGGGTTTCCTTACATAGGAAACTTTTAAGTAACTGGTACAATGCACCAATGACTAGGTTCAATTGGAATGTTTACTTTGTAAAGTACCTAGAGATGATTTGGTGCTAAATAAATAAACTGTATTGAATTGAATGTTTTACAGCCTTCATTGCGACGGAACAATATCTCACAATATCACTAGACGTGTCTTAGAAACATCTGGCCTGAGGTTTCAAATTAAATTCAGTCTTAAAAATCATCTGACCACCAAGGATATGGTGTCCTAGGTACTTTCCTGACTCATCTGATCTCCTTGTTAGATAAGAAGTTTTAATATTCAGGACAAAGCTGATCCAACATGCTTTGACTACAGAACCTGTAGAGATGTTATCACCTAATATCACTAATTTAAAAAAGTGGTTCGTGACAAACTTAAAAGACACTTATTCCCATTTTTTACATCAACACAGAAGTCTATGAAAAGGTTTTGAATATAACAAATGAACAGCTGAACTGATATTTCATACTGAGTGGAGATACAGCTCTTCTCCTTACTTACCATCATTGTCACCTGCATCTTCATGACTGTCTTCAGTCTCTGGAGAGCTGGGATCATCTTCATGAGTATTTACATCAGGGTTACAGCTAGTTTCTGCTCCTCTACAGTCCTCGTCAGCTGATCTGCTGATTGGAAGATCTCCACCTTCCATTTGATGCTGATTAATATGTGAGATTAGAGTTTCCTCTTCATCATCCTCACTCTTCAAAGGAACTGAAGAGAATGAGAACATGTTGGCATCAGTCTCCTCCTTCCCATTAGGCTGTTCACCCTCCAGACTGGTCTCCTCCTCTTTTATGTTGAGAGTCTCTGAGCCCTGCTGAACCATATTAGGTCCCCAACCATCAGGAGCATCTATACTCAGCGCCCTCTGCTGATCATCTGTAGGAAACACAAAAACACACAAACATGGATACTTCCAAAAGCTCCTTTATGTTGCAACTGGTGACAGAAGTTGCTTAATTTATTTATCATATTTATGAGGTCACTGCACATTAAAACCAGTATAGCATTGTACTGCAAAAGTATGAAATATTTCAAGCTAAGTCATTATAAAAAGTAATTTTTTTCTGAGCTTGAGTTTATTTATATTCATCAACGCACTCCAGACATCTCTCTATCCAGTTTCTATATTTGTGACTGACTGGGTCCACAACTCGGTGAGTACAGCTGCTTCTGTGACGGAATCTCCCTGAACAAACAGATGAGGGCCTTTCTGACGCTAATGCTAGCTTATGTCTAATCTTATGACTCGTGCACAAATAAGCGACTCAAAGTTTATTTAGTATTTTATCATTCAGTAACAACATTTAAAACTAAACGGCTTTTGTTTTAAGTTTAACGAGTCAGGAGCGCAGATGTCGACCTCTCGTGCACAAATAAGCGACTCAAAGTTTATTTAGTATTTTATCATTCAGTAACAACATTTAAAACTAAACGGCTTTTGTTTTAAGTTTAACGAGTCAGGAGCGCAGATGTCGACCTCACATAGCAAGCTACACATAGCCAGGAAGCTAAACCTATTAGCAAGCAGAAAACGTTCATAAAACGACAACCAACAATCTCACACTTAATGTGAAGATTTTAAAAGTACAAACCAAACATTAGCTGTCCGGATTTGCGGTTGAAAACATAACTTATTTAGTTTTGTGGCTTATGTTCCCTTAAATGTGATCGTTCCTGTTCATGTCCCTGTTAGCTTTCTCGGGTGCTTTTACTGATGTTCAGCGGTAGTATTTTCTCGTTAGCGACGCCAACAGGATTAGAGGAGAACTGCAGCGGCTCTTTAAAAACAGCATGTGGTGTATGATTCCATTATTTACTGATATATCAGACATGATCTGACTATCTGATGCAAATAAATTATTCTGTCAGCAGTTAAAATTAATTTATGCTTGCATGCTTTCTAAAAAGCAGAAAATCCTTGCAACACTGCTTGTTCAAATGAATACTGAGGAAAAGCGCATTTTAACATACCACCTTTATTAAAGAGCAGAAAATATATAAAGATCATTTCATGGGAATACGAACAATCCTATTATAGATTTATTTACAGAATAAAAAATTATTAATTAAATCTTTTTAGTGTTGCAGCTAACTTTTATCACAAAGTTTGGTTACAATTTTTAAAGGAAAGTTGGATTTTCTGTTTCAATCCACAAACAGTTGACACAAAGAAAAAAAAACGTTGTGTTAACTTTGTTAGTTCACTAAGTGTCTGAAGCCTTTCTGAACAGTAGTGTGTAGCCAGAAAACAAAAGGAATGTGCAAAATCAAGGAATTATTCACATTTGTACAAACAGTTGCTTCTATTGGAGTGTCTGTAACGTGCCTTGAGATGACATGAATGGTGCTATATAAATAGCTTTGTTCACAAAAATTAAAATTGTCAGACAAATTGATGAACAGTTTGATTTAAAAAAACAATTAAGATGGTGGAAACATGTATGAAACGAATTTGGCGTCAAATTTAAACTTCTCGACAGTGTATGGAAGACTGCTCCATTGACCGACATTTGTAGCTGTAAGTACGTCACGTTGTTCATTGTCCAATAGCATGTGGAGATAGTTTGAAAGACATCTGTAGATTGTGTCCTGCGACCAAGCTCTGACTGTAGGTCATGGCCAGCTCTGTATTCACATATGCAGGATGGCTTTCCAGGCACAGAAACAAAAACCCATCTTCCTCCCACTATTTGCCTGCCGGTAGCATGCCAAAAGAAAATGTGTTACTATCTTTCAAAGCCATCCTCTCGTCTGTCATTTAGAATGTGTGTTTAAATCCTCAATAAGTGGCACATGGGCCAGGTCCAGCCTGTGAACCTCCATTTTCTGGCCCTTTTAGAAGAAGAAAATATCATTTCTATAGCGCTTCTCAAGATAAAAATCACGAGGCGCTTCACAAAAACAAAAAATGTAAAAATATAAAAAGCATTTAGAAAATGTTTAAAAATATATTTAAAATGAGCAAAAAGTGACAATTGTGATAAAAAAATGTTAAGAAAGAGACATTTATTTTATCTTTTCAGCTTTGGTTTGGCTATCGGTCTGCTGACGTATGCTTTTGGGATTGTAACGTACCAAGGGGGTCAATTTTCACCTACACATTGACCAACATAATAGCCTTTCATCTACAGAAGTAGATCCACTTTCTATTTGGCCTCCAAATCCAGAAGGTTCTGCTCAGTGTGTGTTTACATATACGAAGACAAAACATCCAGACCAACATTCTCTCTCAAGGTCCTGCACTCTGAGCCAGACTGCTGATTCCTCACTACTTGTAGCTCCTACAGGATTTTACAGTTATAAGTTAAATAATCATATGTGATGAACGAACAAGATGTTTAAATCAAATGTTTTAATAATCTGTGTTAAATCAATGAATTTTAATTATGATAAATGATAAATGACCCGCACTTGTATAGTGCCTCTCAGAGTAAGGACTCCAAAGCACTTCACACTACAGTGTATCATTCATCCATTCACACACTCATTCACACACTGATGGTGATGAGCTACAATGTAGCCACAGCTGCCCTGGGGCACACTGACAGAGGCGAGGCTGCCGAACACATGCGCCACCGGTCCCTCCGACCACCATCAGCAGGCAAGGTGGGTTAAGTGTCTTGCCCAAGGACACAACAGCAGAATTTTCTGTCCGGAGCCGGGATCGAACCTGCAACCTTCCGATTACTGACAACCCACTCAACCGGTTGAGCTACTGCTGAATATTGTTCTTACAATGATCCATTTATATCACAAATCAGTATGTGTTGATTTAACAAGTTAATCAATATAAAAACTCTTAACATTGTGGTTTATTAAAGCAAGAATTACTTCCCAATTAATTCAGTTTCTAGCTGATTCTCGAACCGACCGATTCGGGAACAAGCATCTTTGAGACGTCTCTTTTGACCCGCAGTCAAAAGCCTTTCTGCGACGCTGCAAGCAGATACAGCCAAACAGCTCTTTTCAGAGCTACTTCAAATCTCATACATCCACCATGGATGCTGAAAAGCATTTCAGCTTATACTGTTGTGACCTGGAAGACATCTCAAGACTGGACGGGTCGTATCAGAGATAATCTACGGGCTCCAGATCGCTGACGTCGTTAGGTCCGTTTTAGGGGGGATGAAGCCCCCCTAAAATAATCACAAGCCCCCCTATCATTTTGGTTTATTTTATTTTTTCAGTTAACCTTTTTTTATTTGTTCACATCTACATGCTCAACACAATCACGGCACGTGTAGTTGGTACATGAGTTTTTTTTTTTGTCTGAAACAGAAATAATAATTAATGAATATAGAACTACACGGTCGCACACAGGAAGTATCAAGAAAGGACTTCCTCCCCTTAAGCCCGGCAGCTTTGTTGACAAGTCAGGGGCAGGGGTTATACAGCAAAACCTTTATATCGATGAGCAAACCCTGCTCAGCGCTCTTGTAAGTCACTCAACATCACATTAGGGTAAGACAGCAACAGCAGCACACCGTTAATATTTCAAGGTTATATTTCAGACGAGAGAGGAAAATGTTACCGCACCGACATGCTAATGCTAACTCCGCTAGCATGTTTACATGCCGCAAACCATAATGAAAAGCCGCGCCATAGTTAAATGGTCGGAAAACTCCCCTGAAGTGACGTGATTAACGAGCCAGCCAGTTCATTGAGTGACAGTGCCACCAACTTGAGCGTACAGTAATGAGTCTGCACAAACAGAACCTGCTCTGCGCTTGTGTGCAGGAGCTGCAGCCCTCTGTGGGCTCAACTCTGTCTCTACGATGCAAATCTCTCCCTGCTCTCCTCAACAAGTAGCCTCTCCAACAGTCAATCACAGACAGCTCTGTTTTATCCAATCAAAGCATGTCCAGGAAATACTGCTTTACAGAAAAACACCCATTTAACAGCTAATTGAACTGCTTTCTGCTGCTGGTTAGCTACCAGTCACCATCCACTGCCTGCAAGATACTTTGTTGTAATTCATGTTTCATGATTAGAGTGACCATATTTGACTTCCAGAAAAGACACATTGCCCATTCCTAAAACTGTTAAATTGCACTATTTTCAGTTAAAGAGGACTTTTAATTTCAACATATAAAGTGTTTCTTCTCTGTTTGGTCAGACATAAATGATCCCTTGATGTGTAAAAGGAAGTGAACAGTGGAAATGTCCCAGGAAAAGAGGGGGGTTAATCAACCTAATTAAATATAATTATATAAAGTCCTCTTTATCTGAAAAAAGTGCAATTTTCCTGGCAGTATTTCCTGGACATGCTTTGATTGCATAATGGAGAGCTGTCTGATTGGCTGACGGAGAGGCTACATTGCTTTGTAAATTGCAAATTGAGCAACAACAGGGAGATTTGTGCAGGCAGAGACGGAGTTGAGCATGCAGAGAGAGGGCCGCATATGACTGCAGAGCAGGTTGTGCTCCTGCTGATTGATCACTGCACGCTCCAGTTGGTGGCACAAAAATCACTCCACACTACAAACCTGAATCAGAATATGGCCGAATGTGTATATTATTGACCATTTTTCTATATTATATATTTTTTCTATAATATATATATATTATATTATAGGTACATATATGTATCTATAATATAGTAAACAGCCAGTTTTATAATGTCACATATATTCAAAAGCTACATCAAAACATATATTAAAACCTATATGTTTATATGAATTCTTTCCATGTGGGTTGTCAATTGCTTAATATTTCCTATGTTTACCTATGGGAAAGAAAGGAGATATTGTACTCGTCTAACTTTAACATAAATTTTGGCAGCTTAATGTGACATTATGGAAAATGCCATCATCATGAGCAACCAACATAGGCTATATTAGGCTAACAGTTGTTCATATTCTGTACCATCTATCCAC